TTTTTCTTTTCGTGCCCGGTTACTCTCTTTCGCTTTCATGGGGGGGGGGGGGGGTGTATAGGGTTATCGTATAAGAGGAGGGTGAAAATCTATTGTGTATGGCCGCATAAGAGGGGGCAACATTTATCGTATATGGCATCGTATAAGTTAAATAAACATATGTTTTAAAAGAATTAAAGAAGCCTATTATGAAATTTAAAGGCAGTTTGAACGAATACTGCAGATCCAGCTTATCCCCATAAATTTGGGATTTCAATACACAAGTAGTTGTGGGGGCTTGCCCGTAGTCAGCTTTTTTCCAGGGGAAGCTTTTTCACAATTTTGGCTAATAATCATGAAAAAAATCTCAGAATGGTGAAAAACTGCATGATTTTGAAAGAATCTCTGGCTCCCCCTCTGGCTACGGGCCTGATTGTGGGGGTGATTTGAAAAATCAGTCCCACGTTTATGGGGGTAATTCAGATCTCTATATAATAGTCTCTATATGCCATATGCCAGGACAGTAACCAGGATTTCCCAGGGGGGGGGGTCACTTTTTCAAAAATTCCAAAGTCACCCTCCGAACCCCCCTGGCTTCGGGGCTGTGTACTGCCTATTTGCCGTATGATTATACATTTGGTACTACGTGGATTCTTGCATTATGTTAATTCCTTCTGAATATTATCCAAACTTTTCTCAACGGTAATTTCAAAATTATCGTACAGATATATTATTTACCCGACCTTTTTGTGTTGGTTCACCGTCTATATAGGGAGATGTGAAAAATATTGCATACACTGTATGTTATACATGTAAAAGGGGTGAAAAATGCTGTAAATGGTATAAGACTGAAGGGCTTGTGAAAAATAGTGTATATGGATTTCCAAGACCCCTATGAACCCCCCTTTCATGTTTGCTTTCGTTTTTCTCAATTTGATTTTAGATTTAAAAAGTTTTGAATTACGTCAGTCCCAGTGAATTGTATTACCTATTTTACCAGGAATATTGTTGAAAACAGGATTGTATTTCATTTGGAATTAAAGTTTTAAATAAGAGACGATTTAAAAAGTAATGTAAACCCGACCAGCGTGTTTTATCATTGTCCAGTAATTGGCCGTAAATATTTATTAATTCTAAGTTACTCATGTTCTTTCAGGTCAAATACAGAGAAAAGTACACGTTCATTTAGTTTTGGAATTATTTCCTAAATTGAAGTTGAATTCTGTTTTTTAACGGTGTGAAGAACATCTTAATTGGTCTTATATTTTTAGAGAAATCGTAACTTGAAAAGTGTAATTTTCGAGAGGCTTTGTTTATTTCCTGCGGCCGCAAAGTTCACATCAAAGTCTGATTGACAGGTTAGCGGTGATTTATACAGTCTTTGAAGTGTCAATGTTTTGACAAGTTCCCAGGGAGTCATAACCCTAATTATACATGTCCCTTGGCCAAGGGTATAGACCAATCATAAACATGTGCTTAAAACATGCGCACACATCGTGGGGGAAGGATCATTTTCTATTAGCGCATTGGCGCGTTAGCGCGTAGCGCGTGTTTTCATTATAACCCAAACAACAATTGTCTCTAGCAAATGCAGAGCTGTCAAGTGTCCCGCGAATGGCGGGATTATCCCGCGAATTTGACCAAAATTTGGCTTATTCGCGTGTCCCGCAATGTCCCGCGAATTCCCGCAAATGACGGCTTTGACCTCCGCGAATTTTCAAAATTGTAACAATCCCCGAGGCTAAATAATTGTTCATTATATTGTGATATAAGAAGCTAAGCTTTTTGCACTTTTGAGGAGTCAAGTTTACCTAATTTGAAAAGTGCTGCCGAACTCCCAGTGCATCAGATCATCGAAGACTGCTTTTGGAAGGAGCATATAGTACACTTATAAAACTATGATTTTGATCCAAATAACACCATAGTTGGCTTCTAGCATGCCGTTTGGTATCAAAATAAAAAGGAAGAGTGCAAATTTCATTTTAATTACGGAAAAGGGATGTATGTCACGATTAGTTCAATGTTGGCCTTTTTACTACGCGTGTCACGGCCTTCATCTCAGAACTGAACAAATGTTAGCAAACGCGAGTTCCAATAAATGGACACTGATATCTCGAAAAGAAACCTGACTCCCCATAATTTGATGTAGAATAATCGAACCCCTATACGAATAGGTACATTTTGATATATAACACTATGTGGGTAAATGTTTCATAGTTGGTCACGAACACCATAAGTGCAAAGTATTCACAAGAATTTTTGAATTTCGTGTCGGATTACGGTACTCACACCTAAAGCGTGGTTTTTGATAGTTTAATAATAGTTCTATGCGTATTCAGGTATTGTGTGGAATTGTGTGGAATTGTGTTGACGTTTACTTAAGTTAAGTGCATTATATTTGATAAATCAGTATCTGAAAGTTTGATTCAAGAGTACTTTAACATTAAAAATCCCTTGAATGTCCTGCGACATCCCGCAAAAGGTTGATGTCCCGCAAAATCCCGCGAATTTAGGGCACTTTGTCTAGAAAAATTATCCCTCTCTGAAGTCTTTGGTGGTTACCCTGTTAATTGTCCCGCAAGTAGCGTGTTTGTCCCTCGAATGGTCCCCGAAATCCCGCGAATTTGATCAAAATTTGACCTTTTAGCGCAATCACGCAAATCCCTTAAATGTCCCGCGAAATCCCGCGAATTTAGGTGGATGTCCCGCAAAATCCCGCGAATTTTTGGAACAGGGTCTAAAAAATCTGTCCCGCGAGAAAATCTTTGGGGGTTGACAGTACTGCAAATGTTTGGCCCAAATTGTTTCTCAATTTTTTGTAATTACTTTCAATATTAAACCTACCATGTAGTAGTGATTTGTCTTGACTTGTTTTTATCTCAATCACGGTGTATAACCCAAACGCTCCTACATGCACGACGGAGCGTTTCAGTACTGAAATTAAACAAAGAAACGCTCCGGAGTAGGAAAACTGGCTGGCGGGAATGATGAGCCGTCTGACGATTTCCCCAATAATGGGAATAAGAGGTATGAGTTACATGTTTCGAGTATACCATTCGATGGGTGTGATATTCATGTTGTACGTGGCTGGCTGTTGACGTTTGAAGCAATTAGGAAGAGCTATACGAAGCAGTATAGTTATCAAAATTCAAAAACGTATTTGTCATTCTACCGGTCAAAACCCCTTTTGTCGATACATGTGATTAGTTGAGCCAAGATTAGAGCACCAACGTATATTTTAGTCAAATTCCAACGCTTCAACGCACCATTCATTATCGTAATAGTGATTTGATGACCGAAAATCCAGTCTTAAAAATGATGACATTCTCATATTCAAGAAACGCTCCGATCTGATTAACACAGTGAACTGGAAACGCTCCGGTAGTCTAGATCAGTTTAAGAAATACATAGCTTGCCTTTCCTTTTCAGGAAGAGAAAGAAAAGATCTATTATACCCCTTGGCATCAATAGAAGAAAGATTAATTCACATATAAATTTTCGTTTTTTCTATAGTTTTATGATTTAGCACATATGTAGGCATGTCATCATCTAATGTATAGGCTTAAATCAGCTAGTTGCACGTTTAGCACCACCAGGTTCAGATGTTTCAATTTGCCTAACAAGTACAACACGTTTTTAAGAGATAGATTCGATTCGGGACTCTTCTCTAATAATCTGAAAATGATATCAAAACAAAATGGTAAGAGCGTTTCTAAAATTGTGTTCTAAATCGACGGAGCGTTTCGAGAAAAACAAGCGATTTCTCGAGAACAAGTAATTGATCTGGACTGGGATTTTAGGAAATGAGAATAAACGAGTTTGTGATCTACTACTTTAACAGAAAGATTAACGTTTTCATAGAAATACTAGTTTAATTCGTAATTTGTGGTCAAAACGTCATCTTCAGATTCATTCGATCTACACTACGGAGCTTTGATCAAGCAAATAACAGTTTACCACCAGAAGTTGAATAAATAAGATCTTTGCTCACGGTATTGTTCATCGAATGGTACATAATATTTCACCATAACATATGATATGTAAGAGAAGCGAGAGAAACAATACTTACGGTCATAGTGGAATCTTCATTAGCCGCCATTTTATTTCGCTCCGGAGCGTTTCCGCGTAAATGTAACGCTCCGTCGTGCATGTAGGAGCGTTTGGGTTATACACCGTGTCAATGTCGAAATATTTTAAATGAATCACAAATTCTGGAATATTCTTCAGTGCCAAATTGTAAACAAAAATAAAATTTTATCTAGCTCAATCTTGAGTGAGAAAACTGATCCAGTGTGTACAGGTGTACATGAGCTTTTTTATTGATGCTGCATGATCAGGTTTGGAATATTCTGTTTACTTCAAGTTGACTTTAAAGCAAGGTGCATCATTTGGAGTACACAAAAATGGTTGATCACAAAGCATTTGCTCGGATCTTCGTTGACTAATCTTACATGGATCAATATTTAATTGTAATAATATTTCAATAATATTACCATAATATTCATCTTAAGACCAAACACTACAATTCATTAAGTCAGGAAAAAACTAATATTAGTACTACCAAATTGGTTTATTCCAATCAAAAGGAGATTACAAAAGAATGCTGGGAGCTAGTCTCCCTTGTTGAGTACATGTATAATGTACAAATGCTCATACATAGTTCATACTTATAATACTACAGATTTTTGTTCAACATCATATTGAGCCACCCAAAGTTAATGGTTAGCATAAATATACACTAATTGTAGCCTATTTATTATTAACATGTACATGTAATTTATAAACTCCCTAAAATGTACAAACTACTGTGATGCACTATAATAATATTCAACAGTCAAAGAGTAATGGCTAATATATATTTGCATGTGTAGCCTTGAAAGGGTTTATTATTAACCTGCCCTTACAAAAAATTGACTTAAAATACTTCAACATGCAATACATTAAGGTGTCATAGCAACCACATTTTTGAATATTATTGATTTTTACAAAGATCTAAAAATATATTGATGTCATGTACGTACCTGTTCTGAGAAACGAAAGTAGAATCGGGAAAGTACTTTCATAAGAGAACATTGATGCAGAATGATTAGTATGGTTTCACTAGAAGTAGGTTAGTTTTGGTTTCGGTTTCGATCATGTGACCATATTGATCTGCTTGCAATATGGTAAAACCAAGGCTTATGTACTGAACATTGACCATATGCCAATCCAATATGATAATACACTGAATGCAGTATTATAACTACAATAGCCTGTAAACTGTAATATTAATATACAAATAGGTACTGGAATACTAATAAATGAATGAATGAAAGAATGAATGAATTGAAATCTAGTTTTTATTTACACATAGAATGAACTTGATTCAATTTGAATATTTTATGACAACCACGAGAGAGTTTTTAATGTATTGTAACAGTTAGGCCTTTTTGTGGATATTTATGGTAGTGTGGACTAATAGACCTCTGTATACCTTGTGGGTTACGTGACACACGTTAAATGTGTTTGCACCAAAGATTCAACAGAACATTCAATTATATTTATTACACAACAAACGATATATTGTGGCGTCTGTAGGCCCAAAATTGTGTACATCAAATAGCAAAATGTCCTTGCAATAAACTTGAATAGAACCAATGTTCGTTGTTGTTGTTGTTGTTGTTGTTGTTATTATTCACTGTAAGTCTATACATATAAACATCAATTGTGGGATTGGATTGAAGTCACACAAAGTTCACTGTACTCAGGCTGAAGCCAAGCGATGACTGCAACACTGGAATCTGTCTAGTTGGTACTGGAGCAGATTGATCATTAGATTCTTCGTCTGTAGTGGTAATGCAAACACGAGTGCAAATTACAAACATCAAACAAAGGAGTACAAACGATATGCTGCCCACAATCAAAGCGATGAAAAGAACATCCAGTTCCATACAAGGACCAGTATCTTGTCTTGCGCAGGTAGCCTCCTCCGGCTAAGTCTAGTGAATCGTCTTCTCCCTCAGGTAGCCTCCTCCGGTTAAGTCCAGTGGATCCTCTTCTCCCTCAGGTAGCCTCCTCTGGCTAAGTCCAATGGATCACCTTCCTAAGGAAGTCCGTTCGACAAAGTCGCTGAAATAAAGACCCAGCCTCAGTGAGTCCGTTCGACAAAGTCAACTGGAACGTCTTCTCCCTCAGGTAGCCTCTTCAGCTAAGTCCAGTGGATCCTCTTCTCCCTCAGGTAGCCTCCTCTGGCTAAGTCAAATGGATCCTCTTCTCCCTCAGGTAGCCTCTGGCTAAGTCCAATGGATCCTCTTCTCCCTCAGGTAGCCTCTTCAGCTAAGTCCAGTGGATCCTCTTCTCCCTCAGGTAGCCTCCTCTGGGTAAGTCCAATGGATCACCTTCCTCAGGAAGTCCGTTCGACAAAGTCGCTAAAATAAAGACCCAGCCTCAGTGAGTCCGTTCGACAAAGTCAACTGGAACGTCTTCTCCCTCAGGTAGCCTCCTCTGGCTAAGTCCAATGGATCCTCTTCTCCCTCAGGTAGCCTCTGGCTAAGTCCAATGGATCCTCTTCTCCCTCAGGTAGCCTCTTCCGGCTTAGTCCAGTGGATCCTCTTCTCCCTCAGGTAGCCTCCGGCTAAGTCCAATGGATCCTCTTCTCCCTCAGGTAGCCTCTGGCTAAGTCCAATGGATCCTCTTCTCCCTCAGGTAGCCTCTTCCGGCTAAGTCCAGTGGATCCTCTTCTCCCTCAGGTAGCCTCCTCCGGCTAAGTCCAATGGATCCTCTTCTCCCTCAGGTAGCCTCTGGCTAAGTCCAATGGATCCTCTTCTCCCTCAGGTAGCCTCTTCAGCTAAGTCCAGTGGATCGTCTTCTCCCTCAGGTACCCTCCTCTGGGTAAGTCCAATGGATCACCTTCCTCAGGAAGTCCGTTCGACAAAGTCGCTAAAATAAAGACCCAGCCTCAGTGAGTCCGTTCGACAAAGTCAACTGGAACGTCTTCTCCCTCAGGTAGCCTCCTCCGGCTTAGTCCAATAGATCCTCTTCTCCCTCAGGTAGCCTCCGGCTAAGTCCAATGGATCCTCTTCTCCCTCAGGTAGCCTCTTCAGCTAAGTTTAGTGGATCCTCTTCTCCCTCAGGTAGCCTCCTCTGGCTAAGTCCAGTAGATCCTCTTCTCCCTCAGGTAGCCTCTGGCTAAGTCCAATGGATCCTCTTCTCCCTCAGGTAGCCTCTGGCTAAGTCCAATGGATCCTCTTCTCCCTCAGGTAGCCTCTTCAGCTAAGTCCAATGGATCCTCTTCTCCCCCAGGTAGCCTCCTCTGGGTAAGTCCAATGGATCACCTTCCTCAGGAAGTCCGTTCGACAAAGTCGCTAAAATAAAGACCCAGCCTCAGTGAGTCCGTTCGACAAAGTCAACTGGAACGTCTTCTCCCTCAGGTAGCCTCTTCAGCTAAGTCCAATGGATCCTCTTCTCCCTCAGGTAGCCTCTTCAGCTAAGTTCAGTGGATCCTCTTCTCCCTCAGGTAGCCTCCTCTGGCTAAGTCCAATGGATCCTCTTCTCCCTCAGGTAACCTCCTCCGGCTAAGTCCAATGGAACGTCTTCTCCCTCAGGTAGCCTCCTCCAGCTAAGTCCAATGGATCCTCTTCTCCCTCAGGTAGCCTCCTCCGGCTAAGTCCAATGGATCACCTTCCTCAGGAAGTCCGTTCGACAAAGTCGCTAAAATAAAGACCCAGCCTCAGTGAGTCTGTTCGACAAAGTCAACGTCTTCAGTGAGGAAGTTTCACAATAAATTATCTAAGTCAAACTTCAAATAGAACAAAGTCGAAGAATATTTCAAAGTGTGAGTAAGAAATATTCTAAGTCCAAGTTAGTATAAACGACTAAAATGTATAAGTCCAACTCCAGGTAGATGTACCACAGAACAAAGTCAAAGAATATTTCGAAGTGCCAGTAAGAAATGTTCTAAGTCCAAGTTAGCATCCACAGCAAAATATACAAGTCCAACTTCAGGTAGATGTATCACAGAACAAAGTCAAAGAATATTAAAAATGATTAAAATATTCTAAGTCCAAGTTATCATCCACAGAAAAATGTACAAGTCCAACTCCAGGTAGATGTACCACAGAACAAAGTCAAAGAATATTAAAAATGATTAAAATATTCTAAGTCCAAGTTAGCATCTACAGAAAAATGTACAAGTCCAACTCCAGGTAGATGTACCACAGAACAAAGTCAAAGAATATTAAAAATGATTAAAATATTCTAAGTCCAAGTTATCATCTACAGATAAAATGCATAAGTCCAACAAAATTGATTTTTGTCAAAGTTTAACCTCAAGTAGATTCGTCTACAGCCAGGTACATGTGAACAGAAACAAAGTCAAAGAATATTCCCAAGTGCCAGTCAGAAATGTTCTAAGTCGAAGTTATCATGTACAGAAAATGTCAAAGTCCAACAAAATCAAAATTGTCAGAAATCACAAAATATTTCGAACGGAGCTCTGTCCCAGTCAAAAGCTAAATCAAGTCTCTCTCGAGTGTCAACTTTCTCAGCTTATATACTCTAGGAGGTTGCCCGGATGACGTACTCGCGCAATACAAAATATTGGCGCAAACTGATTAACCAAATGTTTAAATTACGATTACGGGCCTACAGACGTGAAAATAACTCACAAATATGGTTGGTAATTGCGAGTTAATTATACAGATAAGAAATATGATGATAAAGTGTGGAAATACATTCACAATAGGTGGCTAGAGCAAGTTATTTAATGGAACAGGAAATAAAATGACCGCCGAAATGGCAGACGAGATTGAATTGACATTTCAAATTCACGACCAAATATCTTGAAAACTAAACATTATTGCTACCCCTAATTTACAGAAATGATCGCTAATATTGTTATCTATCTAAATAAATCTAAATTAATAATTCAAATGGACTAACTAACCTGTATTTTTGCGATAAGTACGGAGCTTGAAGATTCGAAGTTGTGGCGTAGTGAAATTACTCTAAATGAGCACTAATTTGCGGAACGAAATTACAAGATCGCAATAATGGACGTGAAACGAAATTACTTACTAAAATATAATTTGATCGCTAGCCACCTACTTTAACATTGTAAAAGGTCACAAATAAATATAATTATCACCAAAGGACCAGGTAAAATAAGGGAACAAGTGAAGTTGTTGTATTTAATGGCCATAATCTTTAGACTATCCAAATGGAAAACTATAATAATTTTTTAAAAAAAAATATTTTGTTACACTCCTCCCTTCTTTTGTTTTTGGTGTTTTCAACACCAAGCATAATTTCTCTTGAACTAACAATATATTTTTTTTAAGAAAAATAAACTGTATTAAACTATAAAAACTTTCTTATCAAAAATAGTTACATTATAAAAATAACTACATCACATCTCATGAAAACATGTTATTTTGATGGCACTACTACTAAAGATATTTTTACTTTCTCTCATTGGTTATAACCAGGAGTTTTCTATCTCTAGTTTCAAGTGATTACATGGCTTATAAACTACATCTCTAGTTACTTGACTTATAATAAACTACCAAAACACAAAGTGTGTCAGGTCATAAACATTTACTATCTCTCGTTTCAAGTAACAGCATGACTTATACACTCAAAACATAAAAAGTTATGACATGCAACAAAAATGTACCATCTCAAGTTTCAAATGATTACATGACTCATTGTCTCTAGCAACACGATTTGTAATAAACTACCAATACACAAAGTGTGTCATGCAATAAATATTTACTATCTCTAGTTACACTACCAAACACCAAAAGTATGTCATGCAATATACAAACAATAAATGTCTTCACTCATGCACAACCACATTACAATTTCTAAGTCATCATGTGAATGAACTTATTTTAATGTCACAACTACTAAAGTGTCGTCATACTCTGTCATTACCATATGTGATATCATAAGCATTACAAAAATAAATTCACCCATCACTAATCGCCAGGTACTTAAATTACTCTCCATAAAATCAAGATATAAGCTCATCGTCATAAAAAATAATTGTAAACAGCTCATGTACGAAGCAAGATAATTATCTCTCCATTAAAAACTGATCAGTTTTTTCTAAGTCCTAACAACAGTCTCTTATAATATCTGGTTATATTTTCTAAGTCCTCATAATAGTCTCTATCACACTAGAATCTTTATATTTTGA